GGAGGCGTGGAGGCGTGGAGGCGTGGAGGGCTGAAGGGATGGAGCCCACCCAAGCTTCCTGCCCACCAACCTCGTGCTTCAGAAGCTCAATTCTGAAGGAAACTGGCCTGCACTGGCCAGCTCTGGAGGCTGGGACTGGGCTGGGGAAGCCTCAAAGGAGCCGGGGACTCTAACAGCAGGGGGAGGACCAGCCCCTGGAGTTGAGTGTCCCTCTTGGGTGACAGCAGTATTCCACCACCCCACAGAGGGCAGAGCCTGCCGTTCCCAGACGCCTCCATCCCACTCAGACACGCCCCCTGGCATCTCTGAGAGGGAGCCCTGCTCTTCCCTGCATCCCTAAGTTTGGTGTCTCCAGGGCCCTAGACACAGGCTGACTGGGAGAGCCCAGCCCGGCCCCAGCTGGAGGCCTCCACCCCTCCCTCCTGCACCCCTGCAGCCCCCTGCCCAGCCCTGCCCTACCTTGGCCCAGCTGAATCAGCTCCTCCATGCTGTACCTGTCCATGGCGGCCGCCCACGGGCCAGGCAGCTCCAAGAGCAAGCAGAGAAGAAAGGAAGGGAATGCAGGAAGGAGGGAAGGGGTGGGAGGCAGAGGGAGGGCTCATTCGAGCCTTGGCCTCCCCACCCAGCTCTGGGAGATGTGGCTCCTCCTCACAGCCACCCCTTAGTCAGCAAACTGAGCAGAACCGAAGCCCAGCGGACCGACGGGTCAGACCAGCCCGGGGGGTGAGTAGACCAGCTAGCCTGCAATCCCAGAGCCATCAGGCACAGCCCTCAGGGCCAGCGGTCTTCTCCACTGTGCCTGCCCTGCCCAGCCCACCCCAAGGGCCCCACCGGCCCGCCCCTCCCTGGCCCCTCCAGGCCCCTCGTTCCCTCAGCCCAGTCCCTGCCACACCCACTGCAGCCAGCCTGGAGGCAGCCGTCTGCCCTGGAAAACACACCTTCGACACCCCTCAGCCCTGTCCCGGCCTCTGCGCGCCTCCCCTGGGTGCGTCCCAGCCAGCCGCTGCAGGGCCAGGTGGCAGGCAGACCTAACCCCGCCACAGCCCACTTAGAAGCCCATCAGGGCGCCGCAGGTTCCCCGCAGACAAGCCAAGTACAGAGCTAGGGGCTTTCACAGGGCTGGCTGGACCCACGCGTCCCATCGCGTGCGGGGCTCCCTGCAGCCGTGGGAAGAGCGGGGCAGCTCCGGGCGCTGACGCCACGGGCCCTGTGGACAAACCGTGTGGGAAAGTCTGGAGTGCCTCGGGGTCAGGAGAAGCAAAGCCCCAAAGGCCACCTGCCCCTGATGCATAAAAGACACACGTGCTGAGGGCTTGCAGATGCCACCGTTTCTCTACGGGTGTTTTGGTTCATTCCAAATTTTGAGCCAGGCAAATCATTACTACTTAAAAGGCAAATGAAATTCACATATAGAAATTCAATCTACCGGCTTTCCATCACACAAAGTAGCCCCAAATTCCTCGCCCTCCCCCCACCTGGCCTCTCCCTGCTGAGTGGCCCCTGACTGAGTCTTCAGTCAGGGCTCAGCTCAGAGCACCTCCTCAAAGGGGCCCTTCCTGACTGCTCGCTCTCCATCCAGTTCATGCCCAGATCTGGAGGCTCCCAGCCAGAGACTCAGTCTGGGTCTGGCTGGTATGTGGCTGGACACATGGTGGTCACCTTCCCACGTGGATGAGCAGACCACTGGGGCACAGGGAGCGGGTGGGGCCTCACGGTGGGGACCGAGGTGCAGCAGGCCCAGCTCAGTGCCCTGCAGTGTCCGCGGCTCCCCAACCAGGGCAGCCCACGTGATCGAGGCCATTCTGGGGAGCAGTGCAGCTGGTCCCTCACACTCCTGGCCTGGCCCCTCTGCAAACTGACTGGAGGGGCGATGCTGTGGGGAAGGAAGGGGTCTGTGTGGCCCGTTACTCGAGGATTGTAAAATCTCTTGAGAAGTCGTGGGTTCTAAACATCATCAGAACATCCCTAGCCAGAGTGTGGAGCCATCATGACCCCTGCAGACAGGGACACAGCCCTGTGACACACCCAGCACCCAAGGCACCTGGGCGTCCTCCTGTGCTGAGAGGGGCGCTCGGGTCCCTGAGGGGAAGGAGGGGGGGCCCACACCCGCAGGCCCTGACTCAGCCTGGAGCTGGAGCTGATTTCCTGTTGGAAACTCTGAGCCGCCACTGGCGGCTGTGGCCAGGAAGGGAAGACTGAGTCACCTCCGTCAGGGCTGGGGGGTGCCCTCCCCTCTGCCCACTGCAGCCACACCCAGTCCCCCTCCTGGCCTGCAGCCAACTGCCTGCCCAGCCTGGCCACAGACAAGGAAGAAGGAGAGAAAAGGAGGGAGGGGCTCAAACTCACCACACCCTTGACCCAAGAAGGGGGAGAGGGCTGGCGGGCCAAACCACTGAGGGGTGCAGGGGCAGCAGCGAGGCGAAGGTCAGGCACCTGGCCAGGCACTCTTGTCTCTTTGTGGGAGAAACTGTTGCCCCACCGACAGGAGCTGGAGAGGCCACATGGTGAGCCTGAGGCTGTCCCTCGACCCCACAGCCTCACTGATCCTTCCAGATGGGCTCCCACAGCTTGGCCCTAGTGGGTCCAACCCAGACCAGACCAGAGGTGAGGCTGCCACTCAGCACCTGGGGCTGCCCCTGGCTCCCCAACCCCATTCAGTCTCCCTGCAAGCTCCTATCCACCCTTCTGGCCTCACCCCAGGCCCCCTTGCACCCCTCTGAGACCAAGCTCCTCCCCAGGCAGTGAGACACAAAGATGGAGGCAGGGGCCAGGCCTGCCCTGTGCTGGGGACAGGTGGCCCCACGTCAACACCCAGGCCAGCAAGCTCCAGAAGCACAAGAAGTGTGAGCCTCAAGCGACATGGGACACTGGTTGTCTGCCAACCTGGGTCCTGCAGCACAGGTGCTTAGGGACAGAGGGATGTCCCAGAGCAGGGGCACAGCAAGTGGCTGCTGGCCTCCCCTGGGACAGCAGGACCCGTTCCATCCTCTGGGACCCTGCTCCCATTGGGAAGGACCTACCTAGACCCCAGGCTGGGCCCAGCACCCGCCATGGCCCGGCCTCCTGCCCAGCGGCTGATGCTCCTATCTAGGGTCTGCTCTTCTCCCCGACCCAGGGCTGCCCTCTAGGCCACCACCAACCACAAGCCCCCAAGCGCCCAGTTGCAGTATCACATCTGCACCACAACCACGGGAGCATGTCATCATCCCCACCGGACAGACTCAAGGCTCAGAAAGGTCAGGCAGTCACCCACACTTCTGGAAAGCAGCTGCACCCGTGGCCCACCCAGCACCTCCTCTGCAGGCTCCCACCTCAAGCAGAGAGGGCCTCAGGGCAGACAAGTCACTGGGGCAGGGAGAGGGGTAAGCAGGGCACAGGATGCGGGCAGCGCTGGGAGAGGGCCCAGCTGGTGCGGGGCAGGGCTGTGCTAACAGCTGGTCCTGCCAGTCCAGGCACTGCAAGCCCCACCCCTAGCCCCGGGGTGTGCCTGACGATGGGCTCCTCCTTGGCCTACCCACCCCAAGGTCCTCAAGCCAGGAGGAGGAGCCATGTGGATCAACTGACCAGAGCGCCCTGCGCCCAGACAGAGAGCACGCCACCTGCTGGCGGGAGCAAAGCTCTTGCACACTCGCCGGCCACCCCAGCCCACCAATCCCAGGTACACACACCCCCCGCCCTGCCCCAGCAGCCCCTCCCATCCCCCATTCTGGGGCCAGGACACAGCTACCTGTGGCTGGGGCAGGCTCCGGGCCAGGCCTCGCCAGAGTCCCTGCGGTGGTGGCGGGCACCACAGGGGACTCAGATGCCCTCTCCTCAGGCTCCTTCCGGCGGTAGACCCACCGCTCCTCACGGGCAGGGTCCTCAGCTGGCAATGGCCCCCGCTTGGGCGGGCATCCCAGGGAACCCTGTATGGCCTGCATGTGGGGCGTGCGGCGCGCAGGCATCACCATGGCGACAGGGCGGCGCACACGCTGCAGAGAGGCAGGCACGATCTCCGGTGGCAGGTGCAGGTACTGGCGCAAGTGGGCAATGCCCTCGTTGGTGAGGTACCAGTAAAAGTGGCGCCAGGCAAAAGTCTCCCGAACCAGGCCCCGTGCCCGCAGGGAGGCCATGGCACGCATGACCTGCAGGTTGGTGACGCCTGGCACATGGGGGTGCAGGCTGCAGGGCCGCCGGTCCTTCTTGGCCACCATCACACCCTCTCGGAAGAGCACCTCGTAAATGGCCCTCAGCTGGTCCAGTGGCATGAGCATGCCAGCCACCATGGCTGCCGGTGAGTCGAGGGCAGCGGGCGGGGCACAGGGAGGAGGCCCAAGGAGGTGCCCTCGGCACAAGGTGCAACAGGGCCGACGGGGCAGGCAGGCTGTGTGCTGAGCTCAAGGGCGCGGGCTCCGGGCTTGTGGCTCGCAGGCGCCTGGCTCTCTGGCTCCGTGGATTCCTGCCGGCACTGGGCCTGCCCACCGCTGGCGGGAGCCTCCTGCCGGCCCTCCCCTCAGGACGCCCAGGCCAGCCCCCTCTGACTCAGCAGCATGGGCGGCCCCTCCCACCCACAGCCAAGGGGGCCCCTTACAGACTGGGGGGCACCTCACAGCCACGGCCACCCCCAAGGCAGTCCCCTCCCCTCCCAGCCCCACGGCCCCGCAGCTCCACGTCAGAAATTACATCAGTTTCTAAACACTTCCTTCAAGGCTCCCAAGACTAGGCGGAGGGGACGGGAGTGGCCGTGGGCCAAGAACCTAAGAGGGTGGCAGAAGGGAAGCTGAGAGCACAGAGGGCAGGAGGGGGTCCTTACACTGGGAACCCAACTCAGGGTTGTGGTCTCAGGGCCCCATGGATTCACAAGGGCCTGAAGAGGGTGCTGGGCCATGGGGGGGGAGTGGAAGAAGGGGGCACTTGAGGTCTGCGAGAGCTGGTGTCTTGGGGGGGCAGGGGTCTGAGGAGGCAGCTGGTGTCTTGGGGGGCAGGGGCCTGAGGAAGCAGCTGGGGTCCTGGGGGGCAGGGGTCTGAGGAGGCAGCTGGGGTCCTGGGGGGCAGGGGCCTGAGGAGGCAGCTGGGGTCTTGGGGGGCAGGGGCCTGAGGAGGCAGCTGGGGTCTTGGGGGGCAGGGGCCTGAGGAGGCAGCTGGGGTCTTGGGGGGCAGGGGTCTGGAGGAGGCAGGCTGGGGTCTTGGGGGGCAGGGGTCGAGGGGCAG